TTGATTATTTGAAAACGCTCTGGGATTAGGATACACAGGGCGATATAAGGAAATCCTGTAAGTAAAGTTACCCTAAATTTCCGTTAACTTGAGCCAAAGCAGCGAAAGAACTGTTAGTTTCTCACAAGAGGCCAGTTGAGTATACTCGATGGAGCATTAGCTTTATAGGGAAAATAGGCTCGATCCGGCGGGAAGGTGTCAGTTGAAGGCGGATTTCCCAGATTACAAACCCAATCCAACTCAATCCAGAGATGACTAGAGTAGAAATAATAGCAGGACTTCCCCAAGCAAATGTTTGAGAGCCTGCTTGCTGAATGGCAAAAACCAAGAGGCCAGAACCAAGGAGCAGGGTGCCTCCTCCGAGGAAGTCAATTTTGGAAAAGGCATCCCATGAGAAAATGCTGGAAACTTGCTCTGAAGGCCATAGATTGCTAATTGCGAGAATAGCCACCAGACCGAATGGAATGCTACAAGAAATCAGATTGAGAACTGGAATATCATGTCAAGCTGGGCTTACTTCATATTGAAGAGCCATCTCCAATCTGAGGAATGGGAAACAGCGCCTCCGATGATTGGGCCGAGAACGAAAGCAACAGCGAGAGTTGCACCAATCATTGCACCGACCAGACTAGGACGATGGACGGGACCGACCTCAACTAGGCCAATTTGTGCCAAGCTATATAAGCCTGAAGCGCCCACACCTTGAAAAGCTCGGCAGACTATCCTGTTAATCGTCAGATAAGAAGTTTCTTGAGTGGCTGATCTTATTCATACAAGGATATCATGTCTTTGGCCGTTGCGCATCCCAAAGAGAAACCAGTGAAGATAACCCAGGATATAACTATCATATTTCGTCGACCATAGATGTCGCTGAGTTTGGACTGCCATACCGCAAAACCTGAATATATTATTAGCTACATCGCCGACTAACATAGCTTCGGCAACATTATTGGTAGATGGAGAACCTTACCCATATAGGTCAGAAGATAGGCAAGAACGATCCACGGGGCATTTGAAAAGTCCTGCATCTCATGCGATATCGTGATGAGAGAGGTGGCAATGATGGAGGTGTCGAGTGTTGAAAAAAGGAGGCCCAGGAGAAGTCTGCACAAATTTAGACAAAGAAGACTCAATTAAAAAGGACAGAGACTTAATACGAGATGACTAGAACCACCTGGCGGGCGCCTTGAACTGGGTGCTTAGGACCCAGTCGAGTGGTTTTGGTGGTGTGAGAGCTTTCCGAGCCCCCTGCAGGCGTTGCCATCTGACCCAGCGAAGGGTTTGGATATGACAAAGGCAAACGACCTTCTTCGTCCGCCATGTTTATTCGAAATTGTCTGATTGGAAAGGTATCGGTTTGGATTGGCGGTTTTGTTTGGCCAGGTCGGCTTGTTTGAGCGTCTCGAGGGCAAGACTGGGGTTTAAAGTAGAAGTTGAAACCCGCGAGCTATGGAGGTATGGAAGAGGAACTATGAAGGCCCAAAGGTAGGCTTGACTCTCAGATCTGCTGTTAGAATTGGAGAAGGAAACTGTAGTCGTCAAAGCTCTCTGACAACTTCCTGACTACTTGCCCTGGGAAGATGTGGACTTGAGTCGAGTTCAGACAACTTTGTAGAGTTGCCTTGGGCGTTAGAAGGACCAAAGGTTTGAGAGGAAGAAATGTGGTCGCCCTAGAGGCGAGTAGCTTGGCGGATAATGTGTTCGGTAGGCAGACGGGGAAGTAACTTCGCAGATCGACGCCGGTCACCGAAGAAGTAGGTTGGGTCTAGATAAAGAAAGAAAGGAGTTAGGATGGGGAAAAGAAAGGGTTTTTTTTTTCATTCGCCACAGAAAAGATAAAGATCAGGTGCTCGTGCGATCGGTGGTTTTGCGGTGAGAGAGGGAAGGAAGCAAGGGCCTGGTTGGGAAGGAACAGCGAGGTCAAGTCACCTTGAGGCAGGCAGTGATCGAGGCGGCCAAGCGGCAGGCAGGCGCGCACCGAGAGCACCTTCCTCCCAGACACGGTGCTGCCGAGACAAGTTGGCGAAAAACGACCAACACAGATAGGCGAGACGAGCGAACCAGCAAAGCCTCAGTCAGTCGGGGCAGACAAGACAGACAGCGTGATTGCCAGGCAGCCGGAACATGCAGTGCAATGCGACCGGGTGGGCGAGGGAGCCTCATTGAATAAGTACGCACCTAAGACATCTCTGACCTCCATGGCCAGCGGTGCTGCCATTGCCGTGTATCATCACAGAGGTAAGTCGCTTTCCTCACCCTCGCCTAGGGGCTCACGGCCGTCTTCGGTCTTAGCATCAGGAAGAGAGCTTCCCGGAGAGTGCGACAAACGGTGGCGCCAGCTGCCCTGGGCGCTGTGCCACTACGGAGGACGGGCTATCAAGACGATACAGATCGGCCCTCCTGTCAATGTCTGTTTGTGAGTTTCATCCTGGGACAAGATCCCTCGAATGTCGCACTGAGCAACTTGCACCAAAGCTTGCACACTCCCCCTGGTTGCACATGCGCGATGCCGTTGTCTTGTGTCAGACTCATACCGTGGTGCAAACGCGCAATCTCAACTCAGTTCAACTTCAGTCGTGAGCCACCGAGATGATTGCTTGCATTCGAGGTTGGTGTTGCAGTGGTCGAATGACCAGATCTAACCCGGCAATTTTTGCCTCCCCGACGATGTGGTATATGCATCGGGTGTCCATTCATAGCCTCCAACCCGCTCGATCTATAGCTTAGGGATGGGTTTTATTCGCGTCTTCTGAATACAGGGTCTTGGAGATGCCACCCTCATCAAGCATCAATGGCAAAGTCCTACTGTGGGTGACCGTCTGAAGAAGCTCCAAGAGTAAAATGCAGATCGGGTATTGATATTTTGGGCTAATTGATAGATTTTTATCGATTTTCTCTTCTTTTCATTCAAACAATTGTTTCGCTCTGAAACAGCTTTGAAATTCAATATTCTTGGCTGACCAGTGAAAAGAGGTGGACAAGGCATTGTCGATTTGGTAACGAAATCGTAAGCAAACTATCTGAATCTGTATGTACCATGATGAGAAAACATATGGAATCGGACATAGTGTTGTTTGAACCGCAGAAATCTCCTTCCGTTTGAGAAGGCAGGCTAAGAAAGCAAACTGGAAGACGAAGATCTGACCCTTTTCATAGTCAGCTGCGACAAGGTGTTTGACCAAATAAACGTGCACCCAACCAACCCTATTACGCTCGTTCTGCCGTGTAACAATGATGGAGGGGTTGGGATTCTCTTTGAATGGAATACTGCTATGTGGAATATCTGGGATCTGAGTCCAATCTCGCAGTCCATCCGCGAGCCATTCGCCTGGAACCTGGATGCTTGTTGCGAGCGGCTAGGCAGCCAACGACTGAACTTCTCTATTTCTAATCAGCACTTGAAGAACTAAAAATCTCGTTTCTTATTACGTGGTGGCTTGCGAGGGGGCACAACTTGTGCTCTCTGGCCATTCCAACATTATGTCATCGTATGCCAAGTGACACATCAGAGTGAAGTGGTCACAATCTTCAAGTCCTCTCATGGATAAACCTATGCCCCGTCATCTTAATAAGCTTTAGGTAGAGGTTATTGAGCCTCAATGAGAGGAAAGATGCTCTTGGTGGGTCACATCGAGCGAGACTACTGCGACGAGATGCCATCTCAATGCAGCTCTTTTTCATGGCCCACGCTCGGAACATTTACTCGTTTCGGCCTCGCTTCAAAAGACCGAGCGAACCTATCAAAGTGGTGAGTTCAAAGCGAGGCAATGGATCTCATGGCTCCTGGGCCAAGGCGATGGATCTCATTGATGAGGGGAAGACTGAATCAGGGCACTCTCGATGACGAGTATTTACTGTGATCAATTAGGACTAAGTTCGCATGTATTGATCTCAATCTGGAAATCCACTGGGATAGGTTAGTCTTTTTCGGGCTGAAAGGGTCAGCAGCATCATCATCTGCAAGATGTAGTAAGATGATGCGCTCTATTGATTCCTATCTTGGCATCCAACGAATCTGTGGCCAGCTCAACACCCCAGGTTTATCCATAGATGACAAATTCAGCGTCCCATTCCACCAGAAGCTGAAGTTCTCGCATCCTATATTCAATAGCTCCCAGCTTCACGGCACCTCTCGCTGACGCCGAGCCACTCACAACCCAGGATCGAAGTTGGATGGATCCCAGCCGCAGTAGTAGTAAAAAGACAACTGCACAGCTGGGGCGGTGCACCCTGCTTGCCATCAATAACCTCACTTTATTTCGGGCCGGAAAACGTGGGATTATCCCAGGCTACCTGCGCAGACGCCCAGCCAGCTTTCTGTTTCATGTCATTGAAGCACAACACCGTACGGATCCGTTTTTCCCATGGTCCGGAGCATCCCGTAACTTCAAGACAAGCAAACAATCACCGTTTGCTTGCCCGTAAGCTATTCGCGGACTTAATCTCACGCTTGTACACCCTGGATACAAGATTATGCAGGGCCGAACGATCTGACTGGATCGTGGGAAACTGCGTAGATACACCCTCAGCATCATCCTGCTGCCTTGAGAGGTAAGATCGGACGCCATGGAGAGCGTAGAAATATGGCGCCTACCTCGGTCGCCACTATCTCCTTTAGGCTTCCCGTATTGGTATAATCTTGGCCTTCCTCCTATTGTATTGCTGTCAGCATCTGCCGAATTTGGCCCCTTGAGTGAGTTCAGGTGACCAAGCCGCCCTGCCAAAGAGCATTGGCACTGCCCCATATCGATATATAAAGCATTTGAAGAACACTGGGAGTCGGTTCTATCTCATAAGCTCCTCATTATTGGTCCGGGAAATAGGGAGAATCTATCCAGGCTGCTCCAGGCTGACAATAAGCATACCTAGTAGAAGTGAGCTCTACCCCTTTCTGGATTTTGCTTCTATCATTCACTCTTCAACTAGCTTCCTTTGCCTGACTGAATAACAGCACATGTGACAAAGTCATCTACTTCGCCTCATATATAAACTCTGACACGATGGAGGACGATATTGCGGTGATAGGCGTCGGCTTACGCTTCCCTGGAGAGGCAGACTCGCCCGAGGGGTTATGGAGAGTACTCAAAGGTGGGGAATCTCAATGGTCAGAATTCCCAAAGGATCGACTCAACATTGAAGGTTATTTCCACCCAGGTGGAGATCGCCAGGGCAGTGTATTGCTTCCCATGATGCAGTTTACTGCTGGCCGTGAACTGATTGTTTGTCCTTTCTAGATTTCTTTTAAAGGTGCACATTTTCTGAAAAATGACGTCTCTACATTTGATGCACCGGTAAATATATGTCTGTCTAGAAGTTATCAACTGGGGCCATGTCTAATACTCATAGTTCAGTTCTTCTCTGTCTCTGTCGACGATGCCAGAGCCATTGACCCACAACAAAGAATCTTGCTCGAGGTTTCTTATGAGGCCCTGGAAAGTGGTATGTCATAGCACTAATAGTATGATACGAGGCTTATTGGAGAGGGCTAACATATCGTACAGCTGGCATTAGAAAGGAGGATGTTGAGGGAAGTGACACTGCGGTGTATGTCGGATCATTCGTAAAAGGTACCTAATGTACCAGCATTCCGTCAATGAACGCCTCTAATATCTTTTAGACTATGAGCAAATATGCCTTCGGGATCCAGATTGGCAACCACAATACGCGGCTACAGGCAATGGAATTGCCATCATGGCCAACCGAATTTCTTATGCCTTCAACTTCCATGGCCCCAGCATGACCATCGACACGGGATGCAGCGGTAGTCTGGTGGCCATTCACCTTGCTGCAAAGAGCCTTCAGAATGGAGAGTGTTCATTGGTAAGACTATTCTTGGACTGTTTCATTTTACTTGCTGATCAATGCTACATAGGCCCTTGCGGCCGGTGCGGGACTGATTCTAACACCGAACACCATCATGCCAATGACGGCTCTCAACTTTCTCAGTCCTGACGGTAAATGCTTCACATTCGACGAGCGAGCCAACGGATATGGGCGTGGGGAAGGTGTCGGAGTTGTTGTTCTTAAGCGGCTGTCTGATGCATTGCGTGACAACGATACCATCCGGGCCGTAATCCGTGGTACAAGAGTGAACCAGGACGGCCGGACCCCCGGTGAGTATACATCATTCCAACCATCGGTACAAAAAGGCAACTCAAACTCATTGAATATAGGTATCACTCTTCCTAGCAAAGAGGCCCAAGTTGATAACATCCGGTCCTTGTACACATCAGTGGGACTTAGTTTTGATCAGACAGCCTACGTCGAATGCCATGGCACGGGAACTCAGGCCGGAGACTGGCGCGAACTCAAAGCTGTTTCAGAAACTCTTGCTCAAGGCCGACCTATCGATCAACCTATTATCGTTGGGTCGCTGAAACCTAACATTGGCCATCTTGAGGGCGCCGCAGGGGTTGCAGGGCTGATCAAAGGAGTGCTTGTGCTGGAGCATGGAAAGATTCCTCCAAATATAAATTTCGAACATGGAAACCCTAGTATCAATTTTCATGAATGGAAGGTCAAGGTATGTCTACCGCCTGGTGTCACTTATTAACCCTTGTACTCATCAAACCAAACAGGTCCCTACACGATTAATGGACTGGCCACTTCCGGGTATACGACGAGTAAGCGTGAACTGTTTTGGATTTGGAGGAACAAACGCGCATGTGATTCTTGAAGAAGCCCAAGGCTATCTTGAAGCACACGGTCTCACTGAGAATCCCGCCTTGACGTCTATAAACTACGACCAGCCGCACGGAGTGAAGCGCAAAGCAACCCCCCTAATCTTTTGTTTCTCGTCGAATGAGAAGGCGGGCGTAAAGAGGATCATCGAGTCTCATCTGAAATATCTTGAAGATAATAAGGCCCGGCTCTCCGCAGAATTCTTGGCGTCGTACTCTTACACACTCTGCTGCCGTCGTTCTAACTTGGAATGGAAGCATTGCATCGTTGCTAGCTCAGCGGATGAGCTGCTGGACAAAATGAATAGCCAAGAAATGCCCAGGTCGAGGCGATCCGCCATTGACAAACAACCACGAATCTGCTTCGCCTTCTGTGGCCAGGGCTCGGACTGGACCAGGGTGGAAGAGCTGCTTCAGTATCCAAGTTTTGAGAAGAGCCTACGAGATGCTAGCGAGTATCTGGAAACCGTCCTGGGGAGCTCTTTCAATCTCATGGACGAAGTATTGACACCCACCGAGTCTAAATCCAAGCCTGAAATCGCTCAGCCAGCAACGACTGCCATTCAGATTGCCATGGTGGATCTTCTCCAATCGTTGTCTATTGCGCCTCAACATGTCATCGGACATTCGTCCGGAGAGATCGCGGCCGCCTACGCAGGGGGTGCCCTGACCCGACAGGCTGCCTGGGAAATAGCATACTTTCGAGGAATGGCTGCAGCACGACTGTCCCATAGTCAAGGAGATACCAAAGGCGCGATGCTTGCTACGGGCATGTCATTTGAAGAAGCCCAGACGTATCTCGGATCATCAAGGTGGGGCGTTGACATCGCCTGTATCAACAGTCCCAGGTCGGTCACGCTATCAGGAGAGTCTCAGGCCGTGTATCACGTTGCAAACGAGCTGAAAGAAAGGGGTGTCTTCTATCGATTACTGCCTGTAGACGTTGCCTATCATTCCCGACAGATGAAGTGCGTCGAAGAGTACTATCAGATCCTATTGAAACACATCACAGCCAATCCATTGACGCCAGACGCCACGATGTTCTCCTCAGTTCATGGGGGTAGACTACAAGGGCCAGAGCTTGACGGTTTATACTGGGCTACTAATATGGTGTCTCCTGTACAGTTCCAGGTCGCTATTCAGAACATGCTGGGCCTCCCTAGTGAAGAAAGGCCAACTATTATCGTTGAGCTAAGCCCTCAGATGTCTCTCAAGTCTCCAATACTTGATACGTTATCAGACCTGGGATTGAAGTCACCGCCAGCCTATTTTTCGATAGCGGATAGAAAGATGGGATTCTCCAGATCAGTTCCTCAGCTTGCGGCAGAACTATGGTCGCGTGGGCATCAAATTGACATGTCACCCATTATCACCCGCGGTGCTCTCCCTCGCTGTCTATCCGACTTGCCTCCTTATTCGTGGAATCATAGCAATTCATACTGGCACGAATCCCATCTGGGAGAAGCGAATCGTTTTAGGGCATATCCTCGTCAAGATCTCATAGGTGCACCAACTGCGGACTCGATCCCTTTTGAACCAAGATGGCGTGGGTTTCTGCGCGTCTCGGAAAATCCCTGGATCCAGGATCACCAAGTACAAAAGACCATCGTGTATCCCGCAGCTGGAATGATCTCAATGGTGCTAGAGGGAGCTAAGCAGATATCACACGGCGATGAGAATATCCAAGGGTACGAGATCTCCCGGATGAAAATTGAAAAGGCGATGGTCATTCCTACAACCAAACATGGTCTGGAGATGGCACTCAATATTAAAATGAAACCACATCTTGATGGAAAAGGGGGCCAGCATAGCTTCTCAATCTATTCAAAGCAGCTTGGTGCTCCATGGGAGCGCCATGCGACTGGGTTTCTACGATGTGTCCAAAGCTCTAGGCCACGAGAAGCATCTGAGTGCGAGGTCGATGTTCTCGAGAGGCAGAGGGCAAATTGTTCCAACGCACTGGTACCTCGACAGCTTTATGAGCACATGGACACTCTAGGGATGAACTATGGACCACTGTTTCAGAACATTGTTGAGATCCGTCAAGGTAATGGGTGCTGCTCCAGTCAATTACGTATTCCGGACACCAAGTCGAAGATGCCAGCGGCGTTTGAGTACCCGCACCTTTTGCATCCAGCCACTCTCGACTCCATGTTTCAGACTCTGTTTGCAATTGAACCTGTTCCGATGGTCCCTACCTCTATCGACTCAATATATGTATCTGCGGATATTGGTTTGGGTAGCTCCCGTGATTTCTTTGGTTTCTCGACTGCCAGCCGCGTCGGCATTGGAAACGCAAGGGCCAACATTACTATGCGTCAAAAGAATAGCGATTCTCTTGTGGTGGTAAAAGGGCTACAGCTTACGGCTCTCGAGAATTCATCGCCAGGCTCAGAAGCAGGTGGATTCCTGCCAAACCATCGGAACCTTTGCACAGAGATTGTCTGGGAGAAGGACGCAACTTTTGCAACGCCGCATTATCTCAAGGATGTTTTGAATTTCTGGGCACACAAACACCCTGGATTATCTATCCTCCAAGTTGGAGGATCGGTTTCTTTGACCCAGGCAATTCTCACCAATCTATGTCCCTCAAGCTGTGTAGCCCCGAGACTTTCTCGGTACACAATTGGACACATTGAGGGCGAAGAACAGGCAGTTCTAGACGATGAGGTTCTTCCAGACAAAAGAGCGGCCCCTTTCATCGAATATGTGAAACTCAATGGACCAGAAAACCTGTCTGTCTATCACTTAATCCTGGTAGTGAGTAAGATGGGGGTTGATCTGGATTCCCTCGGGTCCTACTTGAAGCCAGATGGTCGTATCCTGGACGTATCACCTTTCAACTCGATTGATGCTGTCAATGGCACTGACACTGAAACTCAGGATTCCGGGATTGATATCCCAGAGCTTGGGCAAATAGAAGTACACGCTCTTCAAAAACCTCGGGAAACTGAAGATATCCTTCCACACCACATTGTTTTCTTACATCATGATCAACTAGACGAGCAAATATCGAATTTGATTGGAATTTTTTCATCCAACTCTGTGTTTAAAACCTCCTCGGTCTCATTGAGCGAGTCAGTTACCGATCCCTCAATTCTTGCGGACAAAATCATCGTCTCTCTTCTCGACCTGGCTCGAAATGTTGATCAAGCCTGTTTTACATACAACTGGACTGAATCAGAGTTCAAAATGTTTCATCACATGCAACAAAAGGCCAAGGGGATCCTATGGATCACGCAGGGCGCCCATATGCGGCCTATTCATCCCAAAGCAAGCCCCATCGTGGCATTGGCGCGGACTCTGATGTCTGAGGACCCCCTCAAGATCATCGTAACCTTAGATCTCGCTACAGGTACAAATCCGGGCCACGAGAAGATATGTGGCCTCGTATCTAATATTCTGTCACATTCTTTTAGCCAATCATCCACGTCATCTCTTAGAGAGACTGAGTTCGCTGAAGAGAGTGGTCAGCTGTACATACCAAGACTCGCTCCCGTCAGCAATTTGAATAAGATAATCGAGAAGTCGGGAAACGATGCGTTTATATCCAGAATCTCATTCCATCCTAAACCATCATCACCAGAACTCGGTCTCAAGATCACAATTTCCAGGCCAGGGCTCGCAGACGGAGGGGCATACTTTACAAGGTGCCCAGGTCAGAACCTTGAGGCCAACGGAGTGAAGATCAAATTCAGCAGTGCTATTGCCACTCACCTTGATCTCGAGGTGGCCAAAGGGCGTACAAATAAATCCAGTATATGCATGGATATGATTGGGCAAGTTGTATCTTCAGGAAGACAAGTCGCCCATGTCAGTCAAGGTGATCAAGTCGTCGCATTGGTGGCGGACGGGGCTTTACAAAATGTACTCCATGTGGACTCCAGATTTGTGGCAACTCATCGCCCAGGACTGATCCCCAGTTGCTTCGTCAGTGCATACTATGCTCTTGTTGACATTGGCCGGCTTGGCTCTGGTCGCACGGCTCTCGTTCACAGTGGCGCCAGCTGCTTTGGCCTTGCCGCCGTGCAAATATGCCATATCATCGGCGTCGAAGTCTTCGTCACAGTGATGGGAGACGAAGTCAACTCACAGAGGGATGCGCTCGAGCGCGGTGGACTAAAACCCGATCACATTATAGAAGCTAACTCAGATGAGTTCATTAATGTTGTCATGGAGAATACAGGTGGAAGGGGGGTTGACGTCCTGTATAACCCGACGCAAGAGCATGCCAGCATTAACGTGAGATGTGTTCGCCGTGGTAGGTTTTCCCTAAGCAAACCAATCCAACAGCAATGAGTCGTACTAACAAAATCTCAGGGGGGAGCATTATCCAGCTGGAACAGGTAGAGAGGTGCATAGCCAGGGACATTCCTATCCGGGGAACATTCGTCGCATTCGACATTGGCCAAATGATGCACGATGACATTGATGACGTCGCGAGGTTGTTCCGACTTACTATGGACCTGATCCACGACAACCCTCTGGATTTCATGACTTCGGCAAGCACCTCAGCTGAATTCGAAATCGACAGACCCCTGGAGGCCTTGAGGCATATGGAACAAGCGCCGCACCTTGGGCATACCATAATCAGGGGAGATTATAGCCCTTCCCAGAGAGTTCCGGTCCTCTCAGAGGATATCTCATCGCGTTTCAGGAATGCCATTGACCAAGATGGGACTTACCTTCTGGTGGGCGGCCTGGGTGGTCTTGGGAGAAGCATCTCAGACCTTCTTGTCGCGAATGGTGCGCAAAGTCTGGTCTTCTTATCTCGTTCTGGGGCTTCAACGGATGAAGCAAGAAAATTCATCAGCCAGCTGAGCCAGAAGGGTGTGCGGACAAGTGTGTTCCAAGTGGACATATGCGACAGGTCAGCCGTGGCTCGCACGCTCCAAGAAATAACAGCCGGTGGTGCGCCTCCTCTTCGGGGAGTGTTCCAATGCGCCGCTGTCATCAAAGATGCCGTCTTTGATAACATGACCTATTCAGACTGGCTATCAGCCTTTCGCCCCAAAGCAGAAGGGTCCTGGAACCTTGTGGAGGCGGTGGAGGCAAGCAAGCAAGACCCCTTCTTCATTTTCCTAGCCAGCTCGGCCGGAGTGATTGGAAATCGCGGGCAGGCCAACTATGCCTCGGGAAATTGCTTTGAGGATGCCCTCGCGCGACATCTTCGAATCCGCGGGAAGCATGCTGTCTCAATCGACCTCGGGCCCGTCTTGGGTGCAGGGATGCTGGCTGAGGATGAGGGTATCCTCGATGCCCTCCGCGCGAGCGGATTCTACGGCATCCGGCACGAGGATTTCCTCCAGGTCCTGGAGCACGCCATCACCATGGAGATCCTGCCGGGGCAGCGCATGCCCGCACAGGTGATCCTCGGTGTCGGCACTGGTGGATTGATGCTGCAAAATCAACCGGCAGACCCTTACTGGTCCCGTACAGCGCTGTACAGCTATCTCAACCTTGTGGATATGCCGCCGCCTGACTTATCTAGCGGAAATGCAGGCTTGGTGATGGATATTAAAACTAGCCTTGCCAGCTGTGCCAGTGTCGATGCGGCGGCGGAAATTGCGTGCGCTGGACTCACTAGCATGTTGGCCAAGGCGATGAACATGCATTTGGAGGAAATGGATACGGGGAAGCCGCCCAATTCATACGGTGTAGACTCTTTGGTGGCTGTGGGAGTCCGGAACTGGATTCTGAGCAACTGTGGTGTTCAGGTGTCGGTGTTTGAAATTCTGAGCGAGAAAACAATTGCAGAATTGGCCATGTTGGTTGCTGAGAAAGGGAGTTTTGGGGAGCGCCATGATTATACAGAGGAGGCACGATAAGGTTTATCGCAACATTGGCAACACATACATTGCTGTACTTATAGACAAGTTTAGAAGCTACGAATAACTGAGCAAGCATATCAAGCATCATTATAGAAAACACTAAACATTGGGATTTTAATCGGTCCTCGCTCGCGTTGGGAACTTTAGCTTGTTTAGGGTAGATAGAAATACGCGAATGATGGTTTACGAGGCACGGATGGTCACGTGACATTATTCCCAAAAGCACCAATGAGACCTGGAGGGTATAAAAATAGCAACGTAGAAGTTGGACGTCAACCTAGACCTCGCCGATATGGGCCATACGGAATATTACCACCGGCTACACCGATCGTGCCCCTTATTGGGTTGAAACAGTAGCGGGATCGTTCATAATGGTCGGAACTGAGTTTGCCATGAGATATAATCTCACAGATGCCTTTCTGTTGCAGTCTCCCTTCACAGGGGCAATGATCTCCCTTCGAGTTGAGAATAGAAAGCTCGAAGGCATGCGACCCTCCATTAGGCTTTACCCTCTCCTATTGTGACGTGCAAGCTATTGGAAATACATTTCCTTCTGGTTGAATGAGGTGTCCCGAATTATATTGCCGGCTTGCGAAGCCCTCCATTCCCGTTTATCCCATGCAGAGGATTTCAAGGCGTTGCTAGGCCCTCCTTCTAGGCATTGAGCCTCATGAGAATCATAATCGAAGATCAAATGTCGATGTTTGACCACGAAGTCTTGGATGGCGACTGGGAAAGGCAGAGGACTGGGTTCCTGTTGAAGGACCCTATCCATCCACCACGTCACAATTCCATGGAACAACGCGAGCGCGACCATGGTGATTACTCTGTGCCATCCGTATCATCTCTGGTGAGGTGAGTCCTTGTTTCCGCATTCCATCTTGTGCGCAAGTGAGACTTGGAGAGAGAACATGAGCTGGCCGTCAGCCAATAGCTGGAATGCATAGTATGGGGAAGCTCCTGGAAATGAACGGCTTCAGGTTGACATCAAACATGCTATGGAAATTCCACGGCGAGTGAGCAGCTGAATGGAAGGGAGCTTGTCGATGCTGTTCATGTCGACCGGAGCTTGATTGAGTGGCAGTTCAAGCCACCAAGATTCTGAGATCTCGAGTGCAACAACTGTGAAGCAACCTCTGCTGGCACGCAAGGCGCCTGGGGAGCTGGCTGGAGATACTTTACGTGAAAGCATTCTTGATGTTATCTCCGCGCTCTGCTAAAAGGTGCTGTTTTTACACGCACGGTTCTCCACCGGGTAGCTGTCAACGGCCAGCAATGACGGCAGGAGCAGATGCCAGTGGCTGTTCCACTTCCTCCCTCCCTTCCAGCAGGCGTCCTCCTTCGCTGCACTGGACTTCAGTTACTGAACTGCCCGCCACTGGCACTGCTGCGAGCTACGCCACAGCAGCCCGCCCAGCCTTCGAGTCTCGCTGCGTCTCGAGTAAACATTGCATTCCATCCCACCTCTTGCCCACCCAACTTGATCCCTCCTCAAACGCGTGGTGCTTGGTCTCAACCACCTTGTCTATTGCGGCAGGCAAACCTCATTCTTTGTCTTTGCTTTTTTGGCTTTCCATATTTCGTCTTCAATCTTTTTTTCTCAATTGTCCCAGTCCCCCTCCTTCTTCATCTTGTCTTCCCCCTCCTATCTGACCTCCCCCTCCACGTCGACACTGCACCGTGTCAAACTCGTGTCGAATCTACCACCTGTCGTTTGTCGGCGCCTCACCCGAAGTCCATTGGAAGAAACCTGTTCGATCCTCTGGCCTGACTTCATTTCCTCACCTTATTCGGAGACCCTGTCCCTGCAAAAAACATTATGTACTAATCTCTTCGATTGTCACGGCAACTTGGAGCCATGGCTGACACCGCGATTCACAAAAACCGGCCTCCATTGACCGAAGCTACTAATCGCGTCAACTCCCCGTGCTCACCAATAGATCAAAATGGTCGTTACAAGCCATACAATGAACGGTATCGTACTCAAGTCCCAACGCGGGCACCGAGTGGGAGCCATACCAGCTCAAGCCGCCAACCTGATATCCGTGTCACCGCAGCTCCGTTAGCTTCGAACCCGCCGATGGTTGTTCCCTCACAACCGACTCAAGAGCAGGTTGATCAGAGAAGACTTTCCCAAGCCTCCTATGACTCGACCTCAAGCAACCGGAGCAAAAAGAACTACAAGACCCATGTTGGTCCTTGGCAGCTGGGACGAACATTGGGCAAAGGTTCATCAGCACGCGTTCGATTATGCCGCCATGCCGTCACAAACCAGCTTGCAGCTGTCAAAATCGTCAACAGGCGTATGGCGTACCTCGTACAGGATAGCAGCTTGGCCGCTCTCACAAAGTGGGACAGCAGCCTGCCCCCTCAAATCAATGGTGAAATGCGAGTGCCCATGGCGATTGAACGAGAAGTTGCCATTCTCAAACTCATTGAGCATCCTCATATCATGAAGTTGTATGATATCTGGGAGAACCGCTCTGAAATGTTGGTCTCCCCACTCTCCATGTCGTGACGCGACGCCCGCCCTCTTGCTAACTGAGGCCTACCTAGATATTTGATTTTGGAATATATTGATCAAGGAGATCTCTTCACCTACATCAACTCTCGTGGGAAATTGCACGAAGAAGTTGCACTCTACTTCTTCCGTCAAATGATTAGCGCAATCACGTACTGCCATTCATTCAATATTTGCCACCGTGATCTGAAGCCTGAGAACATCTTGATCAGTGCAGACCTGCAAATCAAAATAGCTGATTTTGGCATGGCCGCCTTGCATCAGACCGACACTCACCAGTTGGCTACGGCTTGCGGTAGTCCTCACTATGCGGCTCCTGAACTTCTCAAGAATCGGCAATATCGAGGTGACAAAGCTGATATCTGGAGTATGGGTGTCATCCTGTACGCTATGCTTGCTGCCACCCTCCCATTCGACGATCCGGACATACGAGTCATGATGAACAAGACCAAAAAGGGCCAGTATGTGATGCCGAAGCATATCAGTCCAGAAGCCGAGGATCTTATCAAGCGCATGCTCCAAGTGAATCCTGATCGTCGAATTTCTCTCAAAGATATCTGGCGCCATCCACTTGTTCAGAAATATAGCTACCTAGATAACTACGGCGAGAACAATGGCCAGCCGCCGGACATTCGCAAGGGCTTCCAATACAGTCCAGTTCCTCGGGAGGAAATTGATTTCCAGCTGCTCCGCCAGCTGAGATCAATGTGGCACATGTTCAGTGAGGAAGATCTTGCCATGAAGCTATCTTGTAAAGAGTATGCCCTATTTGCCCGTTGCCACCCTAACTTAGAATTGCACTGACATTTCTCCGTCTAGACCAAATGACCAAAAGGCATTCTACTGGTTGCTCTATAGATATCGCGAGAAACAGCTTGAGGATTTCAGGCCCGAACTCGCCCATTCAACCAGTGATTATCATCATCTCAAACCCGGTATTTGGAAGAAACGTGTCGCAACTTGCCACTTTGCTCAGCCGCGTGCCAACGGACATGGCCGCTCCGTGTCGAAATTCACAGTTATTTCAAACGCGGCGGAGACGGAGGCAGAAACCGACCAAAGCTACGATCCATACCGAGGAAGCCGTATGCTTAAGCCTTGTAACTCACAGGTTAGCCAAGCCAGGATCACTGTGCACAGGGATCGCCCAGCCAGCAGCGGGCATCAAGCCCCCCATTCGACTAGGATGCGTAGTAACTCTACTACTCACCGTGTACGCAGTAACTCGAGTAGAGCCTTCGCGAATGGTCGGCCTGCATCTTCTCGAGGTTCCATGGCCTCCCTTCACAGCGCTCGACATGCAGGGCTGGGAGCGCCTGGCGCGAGTTTGCGACACAAGCGTGGCGTTGATTTCACGCAAGTGAGGAAACAGTCAACCCAAGCACAGCCACCTGCCCAGCCCAAGGCTCCGGTGGAAGACGTTCCGAAGATCAAGGAGCCCGCGGCTAGTCAGCCTAAAGTTGAACGATCCGTATCTCCAGAGCTGCCGGTTCAAGCCAACGGCACACATCCGATGGCCAAGGGTGCACCTATTGCGGATGTCTTGTTCAATGATGAGCTCCGGCATTTCAGCAGCAATATTGCCAAGGATTGTGATGAAGCATTTGGAAGCTCTCTTATCGAAGATGAATCTATGGCTGGATCGATGACAGATGGCGATCGTAAACAACGAGAGTCTCCCTTCAGCTTCAGCCTGGCCAGCACTCCCGATACGCTTCAAGGAACAGGGGCTTCAGCAAAGCCATGGGACTTGAGACCACTACCACCTCTACCGCCCAACAATTCAGCCCATGGCGATAGATTAGATGGTGGCACTGATGCAGTCTCGCCGATAAGTGGTGATGGAGAAGAACCAACGCACTCTGTTTTCGTCATGCCAACGCATTCAGCTGAACGACGTGTCGTTTCCGCCCCAGCTCAAACCAATATTACCCGCAAACCAGTTACTATGCCATCCATCAATGAGAACAAGGCTCTCAATAGCACCTCGGGTGACAAGGGTCGAATTGTCTCGGCCCCTCCACACAATCCAAGAGGAAGGAATGCAGAGATACGCGACGACATGGAATACTTGAGCAAAGTGGAGAACTCGATCCGAGTTGTTAGTTCTCCATCAGAGAGCCCGGTTAAGATACCAAAGCCTCTGAATGTGAGAAAGAAAAGCACAACAGAGGTCCCGGTGGTCCAGACTGAGGAAGACGCCAGCCAGACCCAAGCAGACACATCCCAGGACGCCCAAAACGGTGCGAGGAAGAGAAAACTGTGGTTCAGGAGAACATCTAGAGCTGAATCCGATAGTGGTGGGACGATCTCTAGCAGATCTCACGACCAGACGACACATGCCGGCTCTGAGCCCGTAAACGAAGGCGATACCAATCCGAACCACATCGCTAATAATAAGAAGAAGAGTTTCACATTTCCATTCTGGAAGAGCAATAAGATGGCAGGTTCGACCATGTCAATTGATGGTAAGTTAAACATGTGCTTTGTTGCTGGGATTTTTTGCAGGGGACTAACAACAACCCAGAAGAGTCATCTGCCTCTGCCAAGGAGGGAAATGCGATCACAGTCCAACCGAGCAAGGACAAACGAGATTCGACCGCGAGTAGTCAGCGCAACATCGAGGTGAAGCAAAACTGGCTAGCCCGGCTATTCAGGGTCAAACCAGCTACACGTTACCTCTGCATGGCAATTTCTCGCAGGCGTGCTCGCCAAGAAGTTGCAATCCTGCTCCGTGAATGGAGAAAATACGGTATTAGAGGTATCCAAGTGGACAAGCAACGTAACATCGTTTTTGCTCGCGTAGGGGCCAAAAACTGTAAGGATATGAACAATTCGATTGGAAGCTGTTGGCCACTAACAAGAAGACAGATCTGGACCTTAAAGAAGTGGAGTTCGCTGCCGAGGTGATGACGGTAATTGAGCACGGGAAGAAGCAGCAACTGAGCATTATTCGATTCACGCAAGAGCGTGGTGCTGCAAGCAGCTTCCACAAAGTTGTCGAAACTATGAAGAGCGTATTCGAAAGCCGCAGTCTCTTGGTGCCCGACGAGGGGAAGCAGAAGATGATGATCAAGACGTTGAACTCTTGAGGACCAGAAAATCTAATGAGCAGATCAGAAAAGAAAAAAGAGAAGAAGAAAAAGATATGAAAAGCAACATGATATTGGATGATGCCTAGGAGCAGTACGCCTACGGCTTGCTACGGGTTTGCTGCAACTAGGTAATTGGCTTTAGGATTTCCCTTCTCAGGATGGATAAAAGAGTTGTTGGATGAAATGGGGCAAGGTGGCATCTAAGGTCCCAGAGCTCTTTGTTGGCTGATACACAGATAGATGTATAACTTGTTGCTAATATTCGACTTGGGAAAGACTTTCTATTCGGTGGCCAGGAACGGCCAATATGGCTGCCTCTCAGGCGGGTGGCATCCCCTATGTTAGAGAGGTTATAATTGTATTCATTGTTGCATTTGCTTTTATTAGGAAGCTGGGGGTTCTTTTGTTATCATGCCGAGCATGTGTCCAGGCGGGAGGGTTTCTTTATGATTGGCTGTAAGCTTGAGGTTGTCTTATGTTCATGTACTTTTAGGCTACCCGGCTACGGCAATCAAGTAATTAATAAAGATAAGAGTTTAGTCATATGAAAGGCCATTGCGATGTCCTCGAAGAACCCTCGGACATACGAGCGCGGAAACCAAAGGAGTTAATGGGGCCGGCCTGCTTTCACATGGAAGGGGATGAGAATGGCCAGCGGCTTCAAAGCGCGGCGGTCGGAAAGAAACGGATACTGGAGGTGCCGGGACCAAATTAGTCAGGCTGGTTGATGGATCATGGATCACGGCCGGTTTGTGTCTTGGAAACGGTGGTGGTTGAAGAGCCTCGGCTTCTCGGTCGGGGGGATCAAGGGCTTTCTAGGTTGGGGCTACCCAAGGTTAATTGGCTGGGCAGGTACTTGGATCTCCTAGCGGCGTTGCCTGTGGGCGTCGGTACCTGCGCCTGGGGCTAGGCCTGGGTGGCGTGCCGTGTGCTAAGGTGGGAAGGCAAATGGAGAGATGGGAGAGCTAGGTAGATCGCTGATGCGAACGCGGCTGGACTGCTGGATTGAGGTTGTGCATGAGTTAGCAGATTGTGATATTCCGGGGAGTTCGGGGGAGCTTTGGCTGGCGATTTCGGTTGCAATCCGCGCCTTCGGGGCATAACCGCTCGGTAAGACACCGTCGGCGATTGCTGGAGAAGCTGTGGTTGGCTGGTGTTATGGGTTGGCTCGGGACACACGAGATATAACATGGAGAGGATAAAATGGAATTGTGTAGCCGGCATTGCCTACCTATTCAGATCAGATCAGATCAAATGAAAATAGTTCGTGGGCTGTCTGCTGCCATAGGCGAAAGAAGGAGACGGAGACCACATGCTTCTGCTTGTGCTGCCAGGGACACGGCACTGGAGCTGCAGCTGGAGATGCGCTGGGCTTGGCCCGGATCTTCCCCGCATTTTCCAGGGCGCGCCCACCGCATCATTACGTAGGGCCTCAAGCGAGTACAGCAGTTACCCATGACCTTGCGCCTGGTAGAGAGGTGGCTATGATTATAGGCCTTGTAGGAGATGAATCAGATAGCGCGAGCCGTCGACTATGTAGCTGTGCCTGCCACAGACGGGCAGCATCTGTTTGTATCAATCTATTGTTCCTCCGTATCCTGGATCGCATCGCATCGCATCTCATCGCTCGCATCCATCCATACACCCGAGACAAACCGACCGCCGGGTCTTTTACCGAGACGGAGAGCAGCGGCGGGGCCACCTTCGGCCGCGGCCGATGTGAACAGCCATTGAAAACAGCCAGGCCACAGCCAGTCCCCAGATGCAGACACAGGCTAAGCCGAGCCGGCAGCTGGGGATCGTCGCTTTGACGTCGCCCTCGATAAGAGCTTGCTAGTGGCTCGGGTCTGGGGAAGTTGAAGATCGGAGCCGTTGCAGTCACAGTCACACACGAGGAAGGAGGGAGGGAGGCATGTACCTGCCGCCACTCGATTCCAGCATCTACATATATCTAGCTTTCTGCCTCTCGTAGCCGCTTCTCCCTTCTTGGTCTTTCTCTTCATATTTCCCATCCGCACATCCGCCAATCCATCTGTCTGGACTGAACCACCCTGGCTAGCATCGCATTCATTGTCGCTAAAGTTCCCTGCTGTGACCTGCTCCCCATTAGCCCCTCGCATTGAGGCCAGCCGGCTCTGTTCTCCTCGCGACACGACAAGCACGTGAAAGTCACAGAGCTTGCTCTCGACCACCCCCCAACATCCCCGACTGGGATTGATCCTACCCTCCTCGCTTCCGGTTATTTTCCCTATATTACCTCCGCATCTCTCCATCAGTATCGACTTCATTTCCTCCGCGCCGCGCTTTTCTCCACATCTCATCACAATCACCACAATGGCTTCCACAGACGCAATTCTCAATGGTGTCTCCATCCTCGGCAAGGTCGACGATGCGCACCGCAAGATTCTGACACCCGAGGCCCTGGCCTTCCTGGCACTCCTGCACCGCTCTTTCAATGGTACTCGCAAGTCCCTGCTTGAGCGCCGCAAGCTGCGACAGGCCGAGCTTGACCGCGGTGTCCTGCCCGACTTCCTGCCGGAGACGAAGCACATCCGTGAGAACAGCACATGGAAGGGAGCTCCCCCCGCCCCCGGTCTCGTCGACCGCAGGGTGGAAATCACCGGTCCTACTGACAGGAAGATGGTGGTCAACGCTCTCAACGCCAATGTGTACACTTACATGGCCGACTTTGAAGGTGAGAAATGATGAAAACCTGCCATGTGGCGAGAGCTCTTGACTGACAATATCCTCTCCACAGACTCAAGCGCCCCAACTTGGGACAACATGATCAACGGCCAGGTCAACCTGTACGACGCCAACCGTCGCCAGGTCGACTTCAAACAGGGCCCCAAGGACTACAAGCTCCGCACTGACCGCACTCTGCCTACCCTCATTGTGCGGCCTCGTGGCTGGCATCTCAACGAGAAGCACGTCACCGTTGACGGCGAGCCCATTTCCGCCTCGCTCTTCGACTTTGGCCTGTACTTCTTCCACAACGCCTTTGAGACCCAGCGCCGCGGCTTCGGCCCCTACTTCTACCTTCCCAAGATGGAGAGCCACCTCGAAGCTCGCCTGTGGAACGACGCCTTCAACCTCGCCCAGGACTACATCGGCATGCCTCGTGGCACTATCCGCGGCACCGTGCTGATCGAGACCATCCTGGCTGCCTTCGAGATGGACGAGATCATCTACGAGCTGCGCGACCACAGCTCCGGCCTCAACTGCGGCCGCTGGGACTACATCTTCAGCGTCATCAAGAAGTTCCGCAATAACTCCAACTTCGTCCTCCCAGACCGCTCCGCCGTCACCATGACCGTCCCCTTCATGGACGCCTACGTCAAGCTGCTCATCCAGACCTGCCACAAGCGCGGCGTCCACGCCATGGGTGGCATGGCCGCCCAGATCCCCATCAAGGACGACAAGGAGGCCAACGACCGCGCCATGGATGGCGTGCGCGCTGACAAGCTCCGTGAGGTCCGCGCCGGCCACGACGGCACCTGGGTCGCTCACCCAGCCCTCGCCAGCATCGCCACCGAGATCTTCAACAAGCACATGCCCACTCCCAACCAGCTGTTCGTCCGTCGCGAGGACGTCAAGATTGGGCAAAACGACCTGCTCAACATGAACGTGCCTGGCACCGTCACCGAGGAGGGTATCAAGAAGAACCTGAACATTGGTCTGGGTTACATGGAGGCCTGGATCCGCGGTGTCGGCTGCGTCCCCATCAACTATCTCATGTAAGTTTCCCATCGCTCACTCGCTCACTCACCATTTCATGGGGAAATGCCACTCCATGCCACAAGACCACAAGAAGAGCTCGTGGAACTAACCAGCTTGCCAATTACAGGGAGGACGCTGCGACCGCCGAGGTCTCCCGCAGTCAGCTCTGGCAATGGGCCAAGCACGGCATCACCACCGCCGACGGCAAGAAGGTCGACAAGGCCTACTCCCTCAAGCTCCTCAAGGAGTGCGCCGACGCCCTAGCCGCCAACGCCCCAGCCGGCAACAAGTTCCACCTCGCGGCGCAGTACTTCGCCGGCGAGGTGACTGGCGAGGATTACGCCGACTTCCTGACAACGTAAGTCCTCCATCCTTTTCGATGCCCTCACACCCTATCTATTCCGCTCAAGCTCCCCTCCTCGTGTTGCGAGTCTGTCCGGAGAAAAGACAGGACGGCCCCCAGTTCTTCCTACCTCCCCTTGGGTTACATTGATGTAACAAACTGCTGACCACGATCCATAGGTTGCTGTACGACGAGATCACCCAGGTTGGGGCCCCCAGAGCGCCATCGAAGCTGTAAGGAACCAGATGATGAAAAAAGATGTGGACACGGGCGGTATTTGAGCAGTGTTGGTTTTTTTTCTTTGCATCTAGGCGCCTCTATTTTTTTTTACACATAATGACAAGCTATATCAAATTGAGAATTAAGACAACCCAATACCAAGTCTTTAGTACCATTGTGGTCTCTCGATCTCGATTATGTTGAATCTAAGTGATTAGACTACCCTAGATATTCCAGAGAACATGAGTACATTCAGTGGCTCTCGCTAGGCGCCGAACTTCGGGCGGTTCGTTCCTTTCCCTGCATTAGCCAGCGAGCCTCGTGCCATTCAGCCACCACCACCGCCAGTTCAGCCCAATGTCTCAGCTGGCTAAACTCAACACGAGGGTATCATGTAATCCATAAAGCGGGTGATATAAGCTGAGAGCCCTTCTATACTAAGCCGTACGTAAGACGGCAGGTTGCCGGGCGCGTGTTTCTGCAAAACAAACCCCACCTCCCCCCCTCCCCCCCTTCACAGAAGATGAAACGAAAAGCCGACAGCCTTGCTCGAGAAACGCAAGTAAGGCATCTCGTATCTCTTCCTCCTGATCATCTTATGGGGACCCCCCCCAAAGCACGAAAATACATGCAACAACAAGCAGCCATGGGGCGATCATCCAGTCACCCGTTCCCCCCGCCCCCGACCAGTCACCAGACGGGAAAGATCACGGCG